CTGTGACTACACCCCATTCATAAAAACCTTCACTACTGAGGCCGGTATTGACAGATAATTATATCTTAAGTGAGGAATCTGAAGTTGTTATTAATTTAATTAAATTAATTTATAGATATTAACAGTAATCCATATTTAAATTCCTTTCCCCCTCATAACATATGAGATTATATTATATTTATGTATTCTACACAAGTTCTTGTATGTTTGTTAACGTGTGTTTAACAAAAAAAACCTGTATAGAAGTCGTTTAATCTGAATTGACGCAGAAATACTGTTTACTATTGATACTTTACACAGATGACAATTGTATTTACCATTAAAGCCATACAGTCAATATTGTAAATTGTCCTTGTGTACAAAAAGGGGCTCTGAGGTATAAAGCACACAAATACAGCTCCATTTAATGTTAACTAGCCTTTAACATCACACACAAACAAACAACCTTACTAAACAATCAAAATGTAAGTAAAAGACAATTCTGGGTAAAATGTAATATAATGCAGGGGCTCCCAACCTGGAGCTGCAGGACCTTCTTGATATTTAAAGCTTAGAAAATATACACAGCCGGTCTATATCTCAGCATTAGTTTGACTTCTGTGAGGAAATGTAAAGTAAATTGTCTAATTGAACAATGGTCAAGCATCAGGGACAAGAATACACTGAATTAGTCCAAAAAAAAAAAAAGTTTTTTAAGTCTGTATGCTTTTTAAAGATTAAAAAGAAGACATAATACAGAAATAACTTTATAAAGGTCATCCAGACTCCTCCTCTCTCTCTTTAACTGTACAATATGAATATATAACATGGAGCATTCATAATGTAAACATGTATCAGTTTACTGCATGAAAGAAGAGAGTCCCTTAAGGAAAAAGGCTGGGCCGCTGTGTACTACTCTTTACATAATAACAGATGTTTATTATGTTTATTTATTTATTGTGTGTTTAAATGTAGTCGGTGCATGCGCAGTGTGTCTCTAGCTTCGTGGACGGATAGCTGTGGTTATTAACTATTAGCTGTTTAATAACATAAACATCTGTTTTCATGTTACAGTGCACTGCTACATGCTGTTATAAAACAGGTTATATTAACAATAATCAAATTAAAACGTGTGTTTTTATTGTGTGAACGTTTCCCAGGTAACACATTAGCTTAGCTCAAATGCGACCGAGGAGCTACAAAGAGTGACATAATGTTAAAGTGCTCCTCCAAGACTGTGATAGCTGTTACTGAGAGACACCACAAGTACATTTAATTGACATGGAGATCACAGTTTTACATTTTTACATTTTTTACTTGAACCTGCTGCTGTTCTAACATCTTAAAACAATTCGCGTTACCTTTAATATCGGTGTTTCTGAGGAGGATGGTCCGACGCTCGTTGCTCCGCCGATATTAAAACACTTAGATCAAACGCATGTTGAAGTAAAATAAAGGTGTGAATGTGTAAATGTGAAGCAGTTTCTCGTGTGAGCTCCTCTCAGTGTGAACGGTCGGTAACCGGTAACCCTCCGCGCTGAAACCGTTTAACGGGTTCAAAACTCCACCGGCCAATCACGGGGCGAGGCTCGGTGACGTCACGGGCGGGCTGTTCGATTCGCCGTTTTGAGATCGTGCGCGAGGGGCGGACTCCGACGTTCGGGACAACGGCGAGCGGTGACGCGCAGTGCGGATAGGACAAATCGAGCGCACCCAACGGAAATCAGGGGCGGGGTTAGAGCGCGGCTCAGATTTAAATCAACCAATCGGTGATGGGCAGGATTAGCTCCGCCCCGCCCACCACACCAAAACACATGTATGTTTAACAGTGACTTTATCTCCTGCTTTCTCAGTAACTATCACACAAAACACTATAAATACACTGTGATCTTAAACTATTAACGTTACCACGGTGGGGCAGTTTGAGGGGCATTAACTGTGTGTTTTCCTCTGATGACCTCTCTGTCCTTCCTCCCACCCTCTCCTGCAGACTGCTGTCTCCCTACAGGACATCCAGGAAACAGGCTGCAGGGATCAGTCTGTCAACAAAGGCTGTGGTGGTCCACAACAACAAAGTAAGGTCAGCACTTGTTATCTGATTTGCTTGCTGCTTATTAAAAGAATCCACAGGAGATAGAAAATGGAGAATGTAAGAAGTTTTATTGGAATATATTTCGTTTGCATGACAATATCATTGGTTTATGGTTTCATAACATGGTAATATTATAACACCTGATCGCTCAGATAAACTGTAAGAAATTAGAGCTGCACAGTTAATCAAAATATGAGTGAAATCGCCGTATGGCCAAGTGCAATATGATGAAGGTAAAATGTAACAAAATGGCATTATAATGAAGATACAGAAGATCTGGCCAACAAATCTTGTTCTAGCTTGTTAACATGTTTTGTACAGACTTCAAAAAATATAACAATACCCTGATTTTACTCATTTGTTAAGCAACATTTTTTATTTGTGAGGCAAAAACAATCATTACCGCACAAATCATGAATCATATTACAAAATCTCTCAAAATAACTGCAATATGATGTTTTTGCCATATCGTGCAGCCCTGTAAGAAATGTTTGTAGGCCACTGAATTATAAAATAACAGTTATTTTAACAAAAGTTATAATAAAAATAACAATTGTTTTCATGTGTTTTCACATACATAAGCACTTTGAAATGAAAAAAGGAGCACACTCTACTTGTTAAGCTAATATAAATGTATAATGTAGTCCTTTCTGGTGCAACCAGCCAGAGGGAAGGTCCATTGAGTTAACAAATGAGTACAGGTGAGCACTTACACATTTTCTTTTAAAGCTGCAGTAGGTAACTTAAAATATGACAAATATTTGCTGAAAGTTTCACTATATCCTGACGGTAGAACATGAGACAGATAATCTGTGAACAGATCAGGTTCCTCTGGCTCCTCCTAGTGCTCCTGATGGTATTTGCACTGTCAGGATATAGTGAAACTTTCAGCAAATATGTCAAAGTAATTTTTAGAAAGGTTACCTACTGCAGCTTTAATTATATCAAAACAAGTTCCTTTTATACTTGTTTGTGCTCCCACTGTCAATGGGTGCTCGAGTGAATGGCAACATACAACTTAGTACCTTAAAACAAATGCTTAACATATTTTTAATTCTTGGTAAATGAACTGATCAGGAAGGTCATGGTTGCTGTTTCAGAAAGGCCAACAGGAAGGTGTCAGTTTACAAATGTACCCAGGCTCTCGAGGAAAAGTCACTGGCTGCCCTGAAAATAGACGTGAACAAGTAAATGAATAATAATCTGTGAGTACATCAATGTCATTGAGGAATATGAGATATTAAATCTAGGGACAAAGTTAAGCTGATATAGTACTCACACAGTTTAAAAAAAGGAAAATAAATTAATATGAGTAAATTATTGTCAGGTCATTTTCAGTATTTTGTGTAATGGATTATATCATTTACCATTTGGGATACGGGTGCAGTTGCACTAGAGTCTGTTTCTGACTGAAATTTGATTAATTGTGTGCGACAACAGCCATCACAGTCCCCAGATTGACTCCTACACACAATATAATGAAATCATGTGGGACGTCACTCTGTAAAGGTCACTGACAACCCCTGGAGCCCCCAGGCTTTCTCAGCTTTATGGGAGTGATAGTGATACAGGACATCATGGTAATTAACGTTTGTCTTTTTGACACTTAATAAATCAGTCTCTCTAGGAAGCTGCAATGTTTTGCGATTGCAAGAATTAACACAAATTGAGTCAAACCCCCGTAAATTCTGTGCAACTCTCCCAGTTTCACCAATCGTAGCACTACCCAACACAAAACATTGAGCCACACGGCACCAAACTACAAGCGATTTTATTCTCACTGGAACAAAAGTGCCTAAAAACATGGCAACATGCATTGTTTTTGGAAAAGCTGCTGTGAAATCGGACATTTTAGGCCACAACAATCCCTAAAAAAGCCAGTGAAACCCTGGAGGGAGTGTTAAATGGTGAGAGTGCAAGTGCTCTCTATATTTTCTCCCTGGATAAGACAGATGTTGCTATTTCTGGAGTTCAAAAGAATAAAAACATGCAGTTCAAGACTAGTCTTAGTGCCTTAAATATGACCATGTACTGTTTTTATTAAACGTGTTCCTGTAATGTATAAACAGTCTGCTTGTCTTTTCTCGGGCTGTAGTTTGTACTGTGAAGTGTGTTCTTTATGTAAAAATGTTCAGATTTATTGCATAATAACTCTAAAAAATGAACAGAAATGACCTGCTATCACTGCATGTCTTTGCTTGTGTGTTACCTGGTGTGAGAGGGAGTTTCGTCCCTGATGCCTTCAAGACAACCTGTAGATTGTAGGACTTAGCGTTGCCAGCCTGTTCCCTCAGTATGATACAAACTTCCTCTTTCCTCAGCAGCCAGTCCATCTGACTGCCCAGGTAGTTCACGCCACGGATGCAGAGTTCAGAAATATCATTGGGGAGTAGTGGGGAAAAGGCCAGGCACTCCTTCTGAACTCTAGAAAAAACCCACAGTATGTCAATATGTGTGTGTGCTGTGTACATATCAGGGTGTGAATTTAATTGTGCGTGGCGGGAGGACTGATAACGGACCTGAAGCCAGTATAACCGAAGAGCACAGCTTGCAGGAATCCTCCCATACCCGTGAGAAAGTTCACTGCACCGGAGCCGTCTGATGATTCACTCCATACCTGTGAGCGGAGGTAATCACATATTTCACTGAGTATTTGGTGAAGAGGCATGTGTTAGAGAGTGGTGTTGTGTGTGTGTTGTGTGTGTGTTGTGTGTGTGTGTGTGTGTGGTTGATACCTGGAATGGCCCGCTGGGATGTTCTTGAAGCAGCTGTCTCAAGTGAATTTGTGAGCTGTTCTCAGCCCTCCCCCTAGGGTTCAGCCAGGCGGATGCGCAAAGATACCTTACAAAGTAAAAGCATTGGTGAAACATACACTCATTAATGCAGAAGTAACAGCAACAACAGGTTTTTACTTTCAATGAGAGGAGACACTGTAAAACATATTAAAGAAATATATACACAAAATATGTGTAACACAAGCAGCTAATAAACACAATAAATGTATCTGATAACTATAGATACTTTTACTTAAGTATACTTTTGATACTGCATTTTAAGATTTAATAAAAAGCTGTGATGAGCTGTTATGTCCCTCCACAAAGCTGCAATTCTGCACAAATCCAACCAAACAATCAATCATTTCTTTTCCTGTGACGTTCACCACCATCATATCAGCTCCCCCTGTACAAAACTTTGAGCCATTCGTCACCAAACTG